GTCATGATGTTAACGTTATATTATAGGATAAAACGTGATTTGGTTTTGCTGATGATCTTTAAAGGTGAAATTTCTCACTGAACTTTTTATGCATATCTTTTATTTACTATTATTATTTTTGGGTGTAAATTGTGCTCCTTAACCTGTAGATTCGATTGTAGTTTGAAAAAAAAAATAATTGAGAAGAAAATTGTACTGTTAACAGTAGTAACCAGTAGTTTAAAAGTTGCTTTTGGCTTCTGAATGCTTAGTAATTGGAAATTTCTTCAAATGCAGCTAGAATTGGATTTTTTTTAGGCTATTTAATTTGCGCAGAGCTCAACTGATAGTTGTGCTGATTAGAGGATTGATGATTGTTACCTAATAGAAAGGCATCACATCATAATTTCAGGTGGGTTCTCTTATTCTTACTTTGCCTTACACGTTTGCTCAAATGGGGTATGCTGCTGGAGTAGGATTGCAGTTTGTTTATGGTGCATTTGGTTGCTGGACTGTGTATCTTCTTAGTCTGTTTCACACCGAGGCTTCTCGTAGAACCAGGGAGGCTGGCACTCTACACAAAAGACATGTTCTTCAGGTTTGTTCACCTTCAAGAAAGTAATAAATAATAATAAATTCTAGAGCTCTTTAGAAGAGATACACACTACAATCTCAATGTTTTAGAAGAATACAAACTTGTGATTATAGAAATATATCGAGTAGTGGGCTAATTTGGAGTAATACATCCTGTATTTCTCTTGTGATTTAAATATTACCCTGATTCGTGGAAGCTATATCTTTACGGTAATGAATCACATCGATATTCACTTGTTGTGCATGAAGTATAATTATTCTTTGTCTATAGCCTTGGTTCGCTTAGATACTAGCTCTCTGCCTTGAGGAAATCACCATTTTTATCTTTCCATTTGAGCATGTACAAAACTCAGGTGATCAAGTCATGCTCTACAATGTCTTGCTTGGTTTGCATCTTCAAGCAAAAGCTAACTTGCAAAACATCTTACCAAGTAGATTATTGGAGCACATTGTGTTCTTGTAACTTGCAAGCACATAAGCATTTTCATGGAATATTTAGATCTTGTAGACCATTTCTTAGCACAATGCACAATTAAACAACTGGCTTTACTTGCTGTTTCGATTTCAAATCCTATGATCCTAATATCATCCTCATCATCCAGTATCACGAGGTGATTACCCTTGTTGCTGGAAAGACTCTTGGCAAAGTTGTTCTTGTGTTCAACATGATCGCTCTCACATTTGCATGCGTCCTTCAGATCATAGCTTGTTCCAGGTCTATGTTCAATATGATCACTCTTCTTTCTTTTTTCTTTTTTTTCCATGCAGTAAACTTTAAGAAAATCAAATTAACAAATTTCCATATGGTGGTACAGTCATGTATATTATATGAATTCAAATTGGTACAAAAGAACATGGACGATATTATTTGGAGCACTTGCAGTACCAACAGTTCTGTTACCTTCGGTTCATAATTTTCGCATTGTCTCAGTACTCGGTATTCTTACTACCACCATTACCTCATTGTACATGACACTGGCTGCTGTTAAGCATGGTCAGGTACTCGTTTGATATGTATAACTTGTAGCATAATACTAAAAGAATTTTCATGCTAACAAGCTTTCTGTGGTTCAATTTGTAGATTAAGAATGTTCAACATCAAGGACCTAATAATTTGTTGGATTTCTTCACTGGTGCAACCAACATTCTGTTCTCATTTGGAAGCCATGGACTCTGCATGTAAGAGTTCAGTTATATCCGAATTCTATTCATGACAATTGCTACTTTTATTTACTACTGAGTGAATAAGGTTGGTTACTTCCATTATGAGTTATAGTTTGTTGCAACTTACAACAATCATCAGCTTATATCTTGTTCTGATTTAGTGAACTGATGGAGGCTATGTGGAAACCTCAGCGGTATAAATGGGCATATGCAGCGGCAGTTTTGTACACCTATATACTCACTATACCAGACTCTGTCGCTGTTTATTGGGCATACGGAGATATCCTTCTTCACAGATCAAATGCATTTGGGGTTCTTCCACAATCAACTTTTAAAAATGCTTGCATTATCTCCATGATTTTACACCAGGTCAGATTGTGAGACATTTTGGTTTTGTATTGTCGTCTTGAATTTCATTTATTTCACTTAAGAAAAAGGTTGTGATGTCTAGGAATTGGTTGATTACCCAAAAATTATGAAGTGTTAATACAGTGGATAAGTTATGTTAAATTTAATTGTGGACCACATAAAATAGTTTTTAAATGACAGAAGTTCAACTTTAAAGAATCAGGCTTGGTTTTAAATTGAAGGGAAACAATTATTACAAAGGATTGTTTGGCCACAAAGATTAGTGGGGCACAAAAGAACTCGAATTATTTTCAAAGAGAAAAATCCTGGAACTTTTCTATTATTTTGGTACTAAAGGGTAGCATTGTTAGCTTAAATAGTGGAGCTCCTAAGCTCCATCTTTCTGTAAGCCATAGCTTCATGGGGCTTCAATGTGGCTATAGGGGAATCCTGCAACATGATTAAGCAAATCTTTCCATCATGTGAATGATCAAATCCATGTCAACTCATACCCATAAATTAAATATAATTACGGTTCAATAAATTATCTCTGGAACAGTAGGACCATATTCTAAATTTCTAGCTTTCGTTTCAAAAGTATTCCTTCTTTATTACAATACACTTGTGGATGCCAACTTAATTCACACAGTTAATACTCTTAAGATTATAGGACTCTAACTGATACGTTTTTTTTCTTTTCTGTTTTCAGTATGTATCCTTCTTGCTAAATGTGAACCCGCTATTTTTGGCATGGGAGAAATTGGTGGGAGTTCATTATAGCAGCAGATTTATATTTAAAGCAATCGCAAGGGTGCCGGTTGTTCTTGTTATATGGTTTTTGGCTTTGGCCATTCCATTCTTTGGACCGATTAATTCTGTTATGGGAGCATTCTTGATTGCCTTCTCAGTGTACATCATTCCTTGCGTGGCATTCGTAAATGCTTATAGAAATAAGCAGCTTCAAGCGGTATGCTATATTTTTTAAATGTTTTTTGTTTGTATTCTGTCACTTTTATTTTCTTTTCAACTCCAAACTTTGTTACATTCCTTGATTAGTTTGTTACTTACTACTTCTAGTCTAGGTTGATAGCAGTTGAATGCTAGTTAGGGAATAAATGTTACTTGTAAGTCACTAATTTTGTTAACATTGTGTCTTTGGACCAAAGTGCAGCTTGTGATGCTAAATGAAGAAGAGTTTCTTGTCCAGAAATCTTCGAATGCTTAAGGATATTATAGCCTCAAGTAGGGAGTGAATTTGCCTTTTTCTTGGATCGGGTAAGCTAAGAAATTAGAATGCAAATTAACAGAAACTGGATCAGTATAAGCATAATGCACGAATTAGAGAAACTCAATTACCTAACAAGTAGGATATCATTAGTTGTTGGGTGTATAGACAATTATTCTGGTTTTAACTGTGGAAAATAATAAGATGGACTTACCTTTTTATTTAGCATTATTGTTTCACGAAGTATCGTGCTATTCATTTGAAGTAGTTGGCAGCTTTGAGAGTGACAAAGGACTCTTCTGCAGGATTGAGGATTGTGACTTTTATACTAATATGTCCCCCACAGCTTTCATGACATTTTCATTGGCAGAATCACGGACTCACACAGTGGTATCGTTTTTTTTTAATCTGCTGTTGGTATTTCATCATGGGTTGCTCTGATGCCATGACAAAGGATCCTTCCACTACTCCCAAAATGCTGAAGTTGTTGTGGGGGTTTAGGGTTATGACTTTTATACTTTAATATGCCCCTGCAGCTTGAACACCATTTTTATTGGCAGAAACATGGACTCACATTGCGGTATCATTTTTCTTTTAAATCTACTTTAAATCCATGTAGGTGGTATTTGAACTTGGCTTGCTCTGACACCATGACAAAGGACTCTTCCATCGCCCCAAAACTCCAAAGTTTTGGTGAGGGTTGAGGGTTATAACTTTTATACTCTAAAAATGAGAATCTTGTCTAGTACACAAATGGAAATTTTTTCTGGTAATTACATCGACAGGTTAAGGTAAACTAGTACTCTTGCATATCAATATTTATATGCATGCAAAATCAAAAAATAATTGCGTGTTCTAATTAAGTTAAGCAACCATATCAATTGGGACCATCAGGCTAGGTTGAACTCTAACTGGAATTCGGCTTTCTTAGTTTACACAAAATGATTTCCATTAATTCTGTGCCTATTTCTCCAACATCATTTGAGGCCTCATGACTTTTCGACTTGTCCGTTACAATAAGTTGAAGCCCAATTGAAACCAAATAATGGGAATAACAACCTGTATTTTCCCCTTTATCCGCCACGAAATCAATTGGCTGAGATGGTAACCTCAAAATTTGTTGCAAAGACATCAGCATGTTGTTATGGTCATTTGCGAGTAATTCAGTAAATTGGACATAGACCCCTGTGTCGCTATTTTGAACTTGCCACCCTGTAGTTTCATTGTTTCATGGGTTAATTTTTTTTTATATTACTCTCTGAAATTTTGTTACATATTACCGATGGGTGAAATTAATGAGTCTATTTGAGCGTACCAGGAGTTAGTAAGTTCAAAATAACAAGGTTACATGGGCTTTATGTGCTGTTAAGCAAGTAGATTTCTTGGATGAATCATTGAGAAACAAAATGATCTGGAATCTGTGAAAAGGCAAATGATATCTTATGGGATCACTGTCAATATGCTAATCTCCCTTGGATCACCTGAAATCATGTTTGTTATGCTCATAAGTAGGATATAAACTATTATATAACAGGAACTTAAAGCACCATTCATGATAATTCACCGTCCCTAATCTTACTTCGATGCTTTGCAAAGTGTATTATTTTCTGATGACACTATAATCAAGGGTTAATCGCAGATACGTCCCCTGCAGATACGTCCCCTGCATTTTGCCGGTGTAGTCACTTGTACCCCCTTAACGTGTTATTTGTACTTAACACCACCTGAACCTCAGATTGTGTTACTGTTTTTGCCCTCAATTTGTGGGGTAATTTATTTAGTCTTTTTTCTAGTTAAACTTAGGTGAAAAAGTAATTTTCTGTGACGTGATTCTCCCATTACATCCCAACCTAACTTGAGAAATAATATCGGGGTCTAAGTTGCTCCACTGTCATAATACAGGGAGAGGGTGTATGCGCAATTATAACCCTTTAGACAATGATGTTTATGATTTTGCCCCAACATATTATCGTTCAACAACAATTTGTTTGTCGTCGGGTACATATACTTTTTATAAATTTTTTAATAAAGAGTGAATGTTCTCTCTTTTTACTGATGAATTTTTATTTTGATGCTAAAAGCTCCAAGGCAACAACGGCAAATGGAGGTTATGGATCAGCGTCTTCGTAGGGACTTGGGTTGCTGTTTTTGGCTTTGGTTTTGGAGGATGGGCGAGCGGAACAACATTCTTCAAGCAAATCAAGACATTTGGATTCTTTATGAAGTGCTACCAATGCCCTCCTAAGAATCAGCTGGATACAGAACTCTGAAGTAAACAGTCACTCTCTAATTACTTCTTCAGCAAAGTTTTATTTATGTTTACTTTGCCCGTTCACGTGTATATGCATATTTTACGTGTCATGTGACAATTTCAAATGTTATCTGGTAGCGTCTGAATTATTGTGGAATGTGATTCTGTGACAATTGAGTCCAGGAAACCAATTTGCTTTCTCCTTTGTTGCTTTGGATTCTCTTATCCACCTTTAAAAAGTTATTCAGATGCTAAACCTCTCAGAGTGCAGTCTAAAAGTTCAGTGTTGTTTTGCTGCATGCTTGTTTTAACTTTTGTATGTCCCCTTTTTAGCCTCAGACTTTACCGAGCACGATGAAGTGAAGATTCAGGTATTTGGACTTCCTTAAGACGGTTTGTATCACTTCCGTGGGTAACTTAGTTCAGAATGCATTAGAAATCTTCCACGTCTTTGATTGGAAAGGAATTCTACAATCCACCAATAACGTCTCTTTAATTTGTAGATCTCATATCTTTTCATTGCGAGGCTTATGAAATAAGCAATATTATTTATCCACAAAACAGTTTCATAAGGATGTAGAGAATCTGAAGCTATTACTCTAGTTACATGTAAGCAAGTACTCTCTTACAATGCCACAGTTGACTCCAGTAACCAATTTGCTTTCTCTTTTACTCCTTTGGATTCTCTTATTACCCAACTCTAAAAAAGTCCTGAGAGCGTCTCCAACGTTACTTCAAAAAGCCATTTTGACGCCAAAAGAACATCAAAACTGCCTCCAGCCTAGCGCCAAAACCTGAGCTATTTTGGGGTGCTGCTACAGTGTTGCGCTAGGAATGGCGCAATACTGTAGATATGGAGTTTTTTTCCCAATTTGTCCTTAAAATTGGTTATAACAAATTAAATATTTCAACCATATCTCATTTCATCCATCATATTTCCTATTTGAAATTTGGTGTAATGGGTTGGAGATGGAATAGTGATTTGATATAAAAACTACATCAACTTAGTGTAAAAACTACATCATTTTGAGTTTTTGGGTCAGAGTCTTGGAGATGCTCTTAAGATGGTTATAACTCTCTTGAATATATAGTCTCAAAAAAGTCAAGTGCTGTTTTCGCAGCATGCTTGTCTAACTTTCTGGGGTACCCTTTATTAGCCTCAATTCTTTCCATGAAGAAAAGATTCGATTCTAGTATCTCCACTTCCTCATTCTACTACAATGTAATTATAAATTTTTATGGCTCAAGGAGATTCTAAACTACCAGCCTATAGTTAACTTACATGTGTAGCTGAGTTCAGAATTGTTGTGGCTACAAAGCTGGGAGTCCTTGAGAGAAACTGAGGAATGTTTTCTGGTCTGCCATGTGAGGACTGAGATGAGCAAAGATGAGAATGGGTTCATAACCATGTTTCTTTAGGCTCTCTGCAGCTTTTTTAGTCCCACATGGCATGTGTTTAACAATCTTCTGACAGTTTGAGTGATTGAGAGAGAGCGGAGACCCGCATCCACATGGTTATGTGAATTAATTGGAGACTTTTGCATGACACACTCATCTCTCTCCAATCTCATCAAGGACCATATAGTCATATCTATATTCAAGTCACATGTCCTTCAATCTTGATCATTTTGTGACTTTTTCTAGTTATATTATTGTATTCTAAAAGGATAAGGATATATGAATGGATAAAAAAATTTTAGAGTACACAATTCTCTTTGTGTTGGCTAATGATAGTTACATGTATGCATACCATAAGATAAGGTCCTGAGGTCGTAAAATGAAAAAAGTACAAAAATCAGTCATGTTAAAGTTCTTCATAGAGATTTGTCAGTAGAAACCACCACACTGTCACACATTTGTAGTTTTGCAAGAGGTATGGAATTGAAATTTTGCACATGCCAATCATGGCAAAGATACAATCTAGTCATATACTAAAGGTGTATTTGGATGACAGTGGTTGGAGTTACAAGTTGGAATTGAAATTTTGCTCATGCCATCATGACAAAGATACAATCTAGTCATGTATCAAAGGTGTATTTGGATGGAAAATGTGTTTTTTATAAGCAATTTCAAATTTTAATGCTATGAACCTCAATTTGAACGCAACAATATTTTCATATTTACAACATTGTATTCAACAACGTCTTGGAATTGTGACCACTTCTCAATCAAATAATTATGTTGTAGTTTGTGTTGGGGAATTTACGCCGAAACCCCTAAGACAGCAGAAACGCAGTATAGAGAAAATACACCAAGATTTAACGAGTTTCGGTAACTACTTACGTCCTCGGGAGCCACACAATTAATTTCTTATTAATCAACAAGAAGTTACAAATCCCAGAGCAGATCCCAAACTGAGATCTCTCAATACAAACACTGTAGCTACAGTGTTAATAGTCCAAAGGGAATAATCCCTATTTAATACTCTTGAGAACAACTCCTTTAAACCCCCTCTTAAATGAACAACCCCCTTTCTTAAATCTCCCCTCAAAATTCATTTGAGAGCTGGAGAAAAATCGCTGGTGCGATTTGGGTCCGCCGCCGCTGAAGGAAACCACGCGAAGGAGAGAGAGAGGGCGCGGATTTGGGTCCGCCGCCGCTGAAGGAAACCACGCGAAGGAGAGAGAGAGGGCGCGGCTAGGGCATAAGGGGGTCGAGATCTGGGTTTCCCTTTTATAGGGAAACCCTAGGGGGTCACGCTGGCGACAGGCTGTCACCAGCCCACGCGCAGACCTAGCCTCAAGCCGAAGTTCGCATGCGGGTGTCAACCTCGTCCGCTTGTCTGTTTGAGCTCGAACCTCGTCCGCTCGAACCATGAACCTCGCAGCCCACAAGCTCGCGCGAACCTCGAACCTCGTCTGCTGGAACCTCATCCGAAGCTCGACCCTCGTCTGACCCCGACCCTCGTCGGATCTCAAACTTCGCCGTCGACGCCGCCTGCGGAGATTAGTATCCACACTCGATTCCAACAATCTCCCACTTAGAGACCAAACCGACGTCAGCAGGCTATCTTTTCTTTATCATCTATTGTGTGGCTCCGCCCTCATCACCTATGCATGAAGGCCAACTGAACTTGCGCACAACTCCAGTTTCTGAACAATCACCATCTTTGTTAACATATCTATTGGATTATTACTTCCTACAATCTTCTCCGGTTTAAACACGTCATCTTCCAACAGAGATCTGATGAAGTGGTACCGAAGCCCAATATGTTTCGTTCTAGAATGAAATGCGGAATTCTTAGCCAAGTGAATTGCACTTTGACTATCGCTATGTAGAACATTCTTCTCCTATTTGAATCTCAGCTCTGTTAACAAACCCTGAAGCTATATCATCTCTTTACTAGCTTCAGTCAATGCAATATACTTAGCTTCTGTAGTGGACAGAGTGACAATCTTCTGTATCTGTGATATCTAGCTAACAGCTGTAGTTCTGACAGTGAATACATAGCCGGTGGTGCTTCTTCGGTGATCGACTTCACCTCCAAAGTCTGCATCTACGTACTCTTGCACTTCCACCTCTCCCTTACCAAAGTGCAAACACTTCTGTGTGGTGCCTCGTAGATACCTCAGAATCCACTTGACTGTTTTCCAATGAGCTTTTTCTAGATTCGACATAAACCAGCTGACCACTCTCACTGCATGGCCAATGTCTGGTCTCGTACAGACCATTGCGTACATCAAACTTCCGATAGATGAGGCGTAAGGGACCTTAGTCATACTCTCTTTTTCTTCTTCCGACTGAGGAGACTAATCCTTTGATGGGCGAAAATGGCTGGCCAAGGGTGTGCTCACTGGCTTAGCATCGTCCATGTTGAATCTTTGCAAAACGCGGTTGATGTACTCCGTCTGAGATACCTGTAAGGGACCTCTCTTCTTATCTCTCGTGATTTGCATTCCAAGGATCTTCTTCGTTGGACCCAAGTCCTTCATGTTAAACTCTTTTGACAACTATTGTTTCAAACTCCTGATATCCTCTATATCTTCACCTGCAACCAACATATCATTAATATACAATAGTAGGATGATATAACTAGACTGATATCTTTTGAAGTAGCAACAGTGGTCGGCATTGCACTTCTGGAAACCTTCCTTATGCATGAATCCGTTAAACTTTCTGTACCACTGCCTTAGGGCTTGTTTCGGGCCATACAATCTCTTCTAGAGTTTGCACACCAGGTTCTTCTTCTTTTCTTCTGAGAAACCTTCTGGCTGGTGCATGTATATCTCCTCTTCTAGATCTCCATGAAGAAACACCGTCTTCACGTCCAACTGCTCGAGATGAAGATCTTTAATAGCTACAATACTCATCACTGTCCTAATAGTATTTAGCTTCACCACGGGAGCAAAAATATTGGTGTAGTCAATTCATTCCTTCTGCTGGAATCCTTTGACAACTAGCCGAGCTTTATATCTTCTGGAACCGTTCTGCTCCTCTTTCACCCGGTACACCCATTTGTTGTGGAGGGCCTTCTTACCCGTGAGCAACTCAGCTAGTTCCCACGTCTAGTTTGAGATGAGAGACTTCATCTCATCTTTCATGGCAAGCTCCTACTTGCTCACATCTCCACTCTGACAAGCTTCATCATAGCTTTCAGGCTCCCCTTCATCTATCAACAACAGATAGTTCATGTATCTCCTGTTGGGCACAGGAGGCCGTGAAGATCTTCTCAATATCGGAGCTGGTGCGTTGGGCTCCTATGCACCATCCTATCCAACAGGCTTTTCTGGCTGAGTACCTTCTGTATTGGGTTCTTCCGAGAGGTTACTCGGGACATCATCTGTATCTACAAATGTTGACTCACTCTCTGATTCATCTGTCTTGCGTATGTCCTTGTACAACACCTTCTCATTGAATATCACATCTCTGCTCCTGATCTCCTTCTTATTTTTGTTGCCCCAAATGCGGTAGCCGAACTCATCTTCACCATACCCGATGAATGTGCATTTCTTGGACTTGGGATCAAGCTTATTCCTGCCTTGATCACTAATATGCACATAAACTACACAACTGAAAACTTTGAGATGTGAGAGGCTTACCTCCTTTCTGCACCATACCTCCTGTGGTATTATGTGCTCCAATAGAACCGATGGACCTCGGTTGATCAAGTAAACTGTTGTGTTGACTGATTCTGCCCAGAACTACTTCGGTATGCATGATTGTACCTGAATGCTTCTGACTCTCTCTGTCAATGTTTGGTTCA